ACAGTGCATATACAATGTACACTGTACATGTAGATTCCAGAGAAATCAATAAATATCATCTTTTTTTCACACAAAAGCAAATACATGTACCAAGATTTGATTTAGGTAAACAGGAATCAGATGTCACAGAGGCAGAGGTCAAAAGGTCAACATGTTCTGCAACATTGTACATGTATACACATACAATGTAGCAGATCCATGCTATTCAGGTTCACTTGAATTGATCAGCACATTCGAAGACAAACATTATATTCCGCAATCATACACTCGATGCACAGGCCAAGCTAAGCCCAAGCCATTTGACGGGAACAAGGTGCACCTTTTATTTACACGCTAAACCTCCCCTGCACAAAAGTGGAAGGCTAAACACACCCCATTCATTGTAGGTGTGGCCTCTTGTATTGTAAAGTGCATACACATACATTTGTACAATGTAGGTGTACAGGTTTACATTTACATTGTACAACTGTACATAGTCATGTACATTATGTAATCAACTTTGCAAACATGCACAATTGATACACTATACTGGATATGACAATGTGAAAATTTCACATTGAGTCATGGCTGATCCGATCTGGCATGAAGAAAATAAAAGCAGAAGATATCAGGAAATTCTTTTGGGTGTTTCAATCTGATCAATATCACCATTTGAAACTTTTTGATAAATTGTAAACACTTTTATGGCATTTAATCAAGGTCATAAACCAAGTTCCAACACTTTTGTTTTATCATTTAAAATAAAAAGTAGTACTGGTACCTTTAATCATCCACCCACTAATTTGTTGATTGGATATCTGATGATGTGTATATATTGTGTAGGCCATATATTAGGCCTGCATCTACATGTATCTATTCAAACTCTTTTTTTGTGACAGGAAATATAATAATCCCGCTTGGTTGAATAAGCTTGCTCTCTGAACTGGAAACATTCCATTTCTTAATCCCCATTCATTATTCTTTATTTCCTGTCATATTATGAAGCTGATCTAATTCACAAATAAGTTATTGTCAGGAAATATAAAGAAAAATATGCCCACAATCTACATGAAGGCTACATGTACATTATTGTGCTAGTAGACCATAATAGTTTGTGTACATTTTGCTTGTAACTATGTGTACACCTACATGTACAGTAGTATTGGACAATACCGGTACATATTACATGACAGTATTGTGAAGAAAGTGAAATTTGTGATTTTTCAGCACAGATTCCACAGAACAAATGGGAAAAGTGTTTATAAAGTCTACATGTACATCACAAAGATGCATATATTTGCATTTGATCAATTCCTACTTTCAAACTTATAAGTATGTAACTTTCCCTCAAACTGTTATCTGTTCTGTCACATGGAAAACATCCATGTTAAAGGGAGAGTTGTCCCCAGCCTCTGGCTATTTTTTTCACATTTTTTGGTGATATTTCTGTTTCTTTTCTTTTTTCTTTTTTTAATATCGATGACCTGTCAAAATGTACAGTACTAAAAGTGTAAGTTAAATACAGAAGTTGCTCAAAGCTATTTAATGCTATTATTTATACAACGCAAACTCAGTCTATTCATCTATTGAAACTCTGCCCCTGTTGTTGTAATGAGGACAATCAAAGAGAACTCCTTAGAACTCCATTCGATTGTGACCTGTGCTAAAGTGTTTGAAATGTACTCTAGCAAACAATGACCACCACCACAATATATTCAAGTCTGGCATCAATGGGCACTGAGAATTTTTTAGGCAAGAACTTGCCTTTTCCAGAATGCAAAATCAGTTCAGAAGGGGAAGTGGAATGTCCATCTACATGTACATGTACACTGTTGTATAGGTTGTAATGTACAGTAAAGTCTCAGAAACACACACACACATGTATACTAAATTTTTTTTTTTTAAATACTAGATGCAAGTACATATACATGTACAGTACATGCGCAAACATGGTAAATTGCCTGAACTCACAGCTCGATACCAACATGCTTCTGGGACATACATGTATGGGCACCCAAAATCTTACCTGATGTCCGGGCCACCAATATTTAAAATTATTATCATAAAGCTCATTTGTGCAGACTTGGTTTGAAGAGTTCCATACGGAGCCCCTTCCCCCAAAAGTTAGCGCGGGCCCCGTCTCATAAACTGTTGCGATCGATCGTAACTTGGCAATTGATATCAATCGCAACTTTGTACATGAGAGATAGGTGACTGCAAACTTGCGATTGATTAGAGGACTTGCGATCGATTCAGATCAATCACAACTCTTTATAAGACTGGACCCTGCCCTGCTAAACCTAACCCTAATCTATAAAACCTACATAATGTACATTCAAACAGTAACCTGTATCCTATTAAATATGAAATAAAAGTTAGGCCAAATGTCGGGACACTATTTTTTCCTCAAAAAATGTGCAAGTGACTTGCTTCAGCTTGAAGTTGAAATTGTTTTGAAGGTGTAATACGAAACCAGGAAACCTAGTATTTCCTGAGAGCAAAATCTGTTTTGTTATCACGATCAAGGACCTTCGTTTCTATGGTATTCTGTATGTTACAGATAAATACGCTGTACAGTGCTCATACATTATAATTCAGTGTTATACTTTTCTTGGTCACAAAGTATACATGAATAAGGATCATAAATAAACTTTTGAGATAGGCCTACATTCTAAGTTCTAACTTTGATCCTTTGTCAAAAACTTGTTCTGATATTTTTTTGTTAAAGACTAAGTTTACAAATCTGTTGAAATTCCTCTTTCAGAAAAAGAAAGCTTTATAATGTTTGGAGGGAAATGGTAAACAAGATACAGTACACATTGTTACAAAAAGGTAGTATATCTGCCAATAACATTGAAAGGTTTCAAATGGGTCATTGTCTATTTCAGTTCTTTTTGCTAGACATTATAAAATTGAGTGTAATGACCATTTGAAAATCTTGCTCAAATTTGCAATATTCTGTTTGATACCTACATGTATCCTTCTTTTTACCCAAATTGTACCCCTGCAATTGTACATGTACGATATGGCGGCCTATACGTGAATGAACATACAATGAAAACGTACGCACAGTGATAATATAAATTGACGATGATGCTGCAAACAAGGAAATTTTGAGGAACATACAATTACATGTACATACAATGTACATGTACATGTACATGTGTCATGTACGTGCATTTGAGTATTCCTCTCGAACAGGAAGTCCTCATTGAAATTCAAAATCCCCCAAGCCTTGGGGGATAAGGCTCGCCTTTTTATTGTCTTCTCTTTATGAACTCATTGAACTGAGAGGCAAACAGTTGAATTATATTGTGGACAACTTCTGGGTCAAAATGGGCTATCATGCCACGTACATGTACATGTATGTACATGAGCATTTACTTCATAGTACATGTACATGTACATGTATGTGTATGTCAGGTGTATGTGCAATGTAAATGTGTGTATGTGCAATGTAAACGTATGAATCTAGCTAACAATCTAACAACTCCAAATGTACATGTAGTTTATGTACATGTATCTAGTCATTTGGAAGCGCATAGAGACGTATATCATTATGTGATATGCGCCATAAAAGAAAAGTATATTAATGTTGTTGTTGTTTTTATTATTATTATTACATGTAGAAATCCACATTAACTACAAACCAACAGCTGGCACTAGTGATATCAAAGGCAAAGTGCTGCACACTTTAATACTTGTATGGTTTTCATTCAAAATTACAATGTCCTGGATACATGTACATGTATTTTCCTATGAGAATGGATCATGTTTTCATTAAAATGATGCACAAACCTCTGTTTCTCGTTATGACAATAAGCACGTCTTGATGGGTAAAGGTGCCCGGGACACACTGGCACCTAAAATCGAAGTTTGGATCCCGACATTTTCAAGATGTTTACATCTAGGGCTTACATGTATATATTGACCACCTTTCAAAAAAGTTATAATGGAACGTTGCATTAAGTTGAAATAAGTGTTGTAATATGATGTACACACTAGCAAAAGTCCATTACGCTAAACTGCAGTTTTTTTTTGTTCTACAGTATTTAATTCTGGATGGAAATAACTTTCCCTAGAAACTTAGAAATCTATAAGAACAAGAATTTTGTATTCATTATAAAACAAAGTAAACTACATGTCGTCTGTATGGGGGATAGGCTACAATCTACATGTACAATGTACATGTAGGTACTTGATCTAGAGTGACTGGGCCTCTCTACTATCGCCCAGATACAGGCCATTAAAGAATGACTTCATAATTAATTCCAATCCCCCATTAATCCACCACTGTCAGTCTACATTCCCCCATCTTTTGAACAGCTGCCAAAAGAAGTGGAGCAACTCGACACATGGCCTACAGCAGAGCCAGGGGTCTGTCTGACTGGCTGGGTAGGCAACAGTTGGTGCAGAAATGTCTTTGGCATGTGGAAGGGACTTAAAATGTCATTAATGTGCTGCACGCAAGCTTTCGGCTGATTGTTTTGTCATTTTACGTGTACATCTGTTTGGCATACGAATGGTATACAATGCATTCGTTAAACAAGTTGGTGTATGCACTTCCAAGTTCCAACCTTTTTGCCTACCCTATGGTCGATCCTGCTTCACAAAATGGCACTACCTCCCTAACACCATCAATACCCCAGTCAAATCTACAAGAGGAATACTAGACCAAGAAGTGACCAAACAGAGAAACAACATTTCCCTGAATGGCCAAGATTTGTCAATCATGAGTCAGTTTTGCAAGTTTGGTGGTTTAACTGGTGTTATAACAGTGAGCATAGTCTGCAAGCACAGACTTGAATTTTACACTTTACAATTATTTCTAAAGCCTTGAGCAGAGCCTACATGTAGCTCTCTGTCAGTCTTTGGCTGTGTCGAGAGCAGCTGAAGTGTGCAGTCAGCCTAGTCTCACAGTGCAGACGCTGTTACGCACAACTGACAAGGGTTTGTGACTACAAACATTGCACTTCATTTCTCATTACTGAGCATCTGAAAAACGATTTTCAAAGAATTACCTCGAGGTGAAAAAGAATTTATCAACTTTTCTTTCCTGCAACCAAGAGCAGGTTAAACCTCAGATCAGATCAAGTCTCCTTTGGACTCTGGAGTACAGGTGTGTCGTTTCCTCTGACCTCAAGAACTGGTGAAGTGGTGGTGTTGAAATTCAAGGTGGTCTCAACAAAATGGCACCGACAGCTTCCTGAACGAAACAGAATAGGGGAAAATGGGTAAAGAAACCACAATTAAATTTCTTTTGTATTTTTTTTTTAGTGACTTCTAACAAATACCTCATTCACACAGACTACATGTAGTAAACTGCCACAGCAGGATCCTGATTCAACTTGTCACCAATAACAAAAAAGTGTTTAAGTTGATTTCTAATTTTCTTTAAAAATGTACATACATGTAACCCTGTAACAGATCATTGGATCATTGGATATGCCGAAAATTTTCAAGTTTTGGGTTATCAAATGCTAAAAAAACATGCATAGCTTGGATTATTTTTGTCATTTTAATAGAGTTGTTGTGGACCATGTTTGTTGATATTTAGTGCCTTTTCATGACTTCGAATAATATTATTGGTCTAAGAGAAGAGGCAAAACATGCGAGCCGCCATCTTGGATTGTAATGTACATGTAGGCATGCATTTTTGTCCAAAACAAAAAACAAACAAAAATTGCCGATGCCAATCAAAGGTGCGAGGGTTGTCGCTCCCATCTTCCGATACGATCACAGCCCCAACTTACAGGGTGATATGTACAGTACACTACACACACATAATTTGTTCAGGTGATTGGTACATTTTAAGCCCTAATTACTTACTTTACTTTACTTTAATACAATGTTGTAGGTCTAAGCCTGTTCATCGATCCAGAATTCTTCCCAGTCTCATCTCTCTCTCTCTCTCCCTCTCTCATCCTATCTTTCATCACGTCACACTTAATCTTGTACAGTACACCGGAAGTGCAAAGACTGTTTATCAAGTTCTTCCCTTTTATAAATTGTATCTGAAACCGGCTTTAAATCAAATAAACATCTGTACAACTGGTTTGACTGTCATGACTGGGCAAAGCTCAAGTGGTATTTAATATATTTCTTTCATTCAGCCCACATAGTAATTTGCATCACAGGCGATAACTTTTCATCTGGGATTTTAGAAATTTGATTCCAAACTGTTGGCTGAAAATCAAAATACATTGTTCATTCATTATACGAATGCAATCTACATGTAGCAACTCCCAGTGACGCTGTGTGCACCTTCCTATTATGTCTACTCAAGTCTTAGCCACTCATCTATTGTCAATGTGCTTTGTGGCATTTGTGCTGTAACTTTGCTGAATTCAGAGACACTCCTTGCGCCCTTTTCCACTTAAACTAATCATTATTTTTATAAAGTCAGCAACAAATCGGCAATGTAAAATTATCCTTTTTTTCATACACTGCATTGTTACATGAGGCTCCAACCAGGATCAACATCTCAAATCCCATCAGATGTAAATCGTAGTTCTGTATTCATGTAAAAAATGAAAAAATGTTCTACAGTATATATTGTTCACCAATTTTAAGCCTTGTTGCATGACCAACTTTAGAAAGATAAGTCTTCCAGCATACTCTGAAAGTAGTTTCCAAGGTTGGATGTGTGTTGGAATAGGTGATTGCGGTAATATTTGCATTTTTATTGGAAACATATAGCTCTCCACACAGCACGCCACAGGCGATTGCATAGTAGGAAGGAGGCGTGAATGCAGTTTCGCACAAGGCATGCTTCATTCTGTCATACGCAAGTTAGTCTACAGAGCTCAAGTGGGATTGAAGAAACCAATGGTAATGAGGAATGAAAAACGCCTGGACTAGTGGCGCTGCGAAAGTACACTAGCGCAGTGGGAGGATTGGGGGTATCAAATATCATAGTTTATAAATCATCAAGTCCATAAGAAAGGAGGCTACCGTTTCAAACTTGCAAATCTAACATCCAAGATCCAACATGTCAAAAACTGAAAAGTTAAATTCTCAATTATCTATTAACTTAGTGCAGGCTCTGCTCTGCTCAGCTCTCGCAGACTATTTTATTTCCATGAATTCTGACACAAGGACTATCGGACCCTAGTCTAATCAGCTCAGTAGGGGCGCTGGTCCGAGAATGAGGATCGTCTTCGTAAACACAGACAGACGCGTCCTAAAAAGTAAGGATTGTCCACATTTTTTTGCGGACGATTCTTATTTCCGATTCGTATGTTGGCAATGCGAAAAAACAGGTCCCTTGATGATGCTCCTTGATGCATTTATTTCACACTTACTTTGTACAGAGACTTTCATGTTGTGAGCAATAATCCTTGGGAAGACAGACAACTCATAAAAGTAGACGATGAACTTGGGGTATTTTCTATTACGAGGAATCAGTTTTTCGCATTGCCAGCGCAAGGATTGGGAACCCTTCACCCGTAGAGTTGCGAAGAAAAAAAACATCCGTGAAACTGCAGACAATCCTTATTTTACGCAGTAGGGATGCTGGTCCGAGAATAAGGATCGTCTTCATAAACGAAGATCATCTTTGTAAACGCGGACCAATGTGTCCTCAAAAACAAGGATCGTCTGCAAAAAAGCAGATGTTCCATATTTTTTATCTGCACATATTGGCGATGCAAAAAACGGATTCTGGGATGATTTTCTTGATGCATTCAACATTGACTTTGTACAGAGACCTTCACATTATGAGCAATAAATCCTTGGGAAGACGGACAACCCATAAAAGTAGACGGTCAACGAGAGTTATTTTCCCCTAGATCTAGGGAATCTAAATTTGGCATTGCCAGCGGGCGGTTCGGTAACCCGAAACCCGCAGAGCACCGATGAAAAAAAACGTCAGCGAAAATGCAGACGATCCTTGTTTATGAAGACGCATTTTGTCCGCGTTTATGAGGATATCCTTGTTTATGAGGACGATTCTCATTCTCGGACCAGCGCCCCTACTGTTTAGGACGCGATTTGTTCGCATTTTACAAGGATATCCTCGTTTATGCGGACGATCCTCATTCTCGGACCAGCGCCCCTACTTGCTAATAATGCTAATGATCTTGCCGTCTCAGCTCTAAAGGATTAATAACAGTTTTCTACATAGAATTATCTATGTTCGAATTAAACACTCAAGTACGAGCGGAGTGTAAACTATTGTGGGTATGACTGAGGTGGAATGGCATGTATTTCATTCACAATCACACCCCTGTCCGATTGTTATCAAAGTTCAAACCCCCATTGACTTTACACAGGACAAATGAGTGTGCAGACTGTGTAGAAAATTAATCGACTCCAACGAACGATTATGAACTGAAACATTGAATATATACGACAATAACTTTAACTCATGCTTCCTTGTAATTCCAATAACTAAAGGCAATACATACCTGTCTCCACTTTAAATTTTTAGGCCAGAAAGTGAGAAATTCCGTAAATATTATCCTGGAAATCGGCGGAGAATATGGGTTGGGCGTCTCACTTTCGCTCTCTGTGATTTTGGAGCTGTAATTACTCTGTCGAATGGGGGCGCTGCTACAATAACCATTTTTCCAACATTCGGAACGAACAGAAATTTAAAAAAAAATTGCTCAGATTTGGTTTAGAAATCTATGACAATTACGAGTTAATAATTTTTATTTATTTGATTCCTTATGAGATGAGTGGAGTCGCATAGAATTGTGAAAAAAACAATAATAGTAAAATCTTTGAATTAGTATTTCCATTTGTATGTATCATAGGCCTACCGGTATAGCTGACTATTGAGCAACAAACTCTTTGAGAACTAGTGTGACAATTTTCGCAAAATGTTTGTTAATGTAGTAAATTGCCTGAGTGATGTATTTACTGTTTGAGTCAATGATTATGGTCACTTTTCCTCTTTCTGTGTTCTATTCTTCTTCTTTTTTGTAAATTACGACTCTCGACGTGTAAAGAACTTATGAGGGCATGGGATGTTGCTTCTTTTCTCCTCTCAGTCCTAAATGCATGTTTCTTCATCTTCATCCTCCTCCGACTCCTCCGCCTCCACCTGCTCGTACGTACCCTTCTCCTCCCCCTCCTCCTCCTCCCCCTCCTCGTCGTCCCCTTCTCCTTCTTTCTCCCCGTCATATTCATCTTTTCCTCGTCCTTTCCTCTCATTCTTCCCTTTCAAGTTCTTCTCCCTTCTTTTTCTGAGAGTGCAATTAAGGTCACCAATTACGAGTTAGAATATTTTTAAGCACGAAATTCAGCCTTCATTGTGTGGTCCAGGCAATGCGGGATAGACAACATGAAATTAAACTTGACAGGGCTACAATTGGGGAGGGGGTCACTTCTTTGCTACTCCCCCCCCCCCCCACACACACACACACACACCCTCTCTCTTTCTCTCTCAGTCTCTCTCTCTCTCTCTCTCTCTCTCTCTCTCTCTCTCTCTCTCCCCGGCCCCCTCGCTCTTTCTCTCTCTCAACCCTTATCAACCCATTTCAATGTATTCTCTCAGAAGCGGATCTAGAGGGGGGTTGGGGGGGGTTTCATTATTATTATTATTATTATTATTATTATTATTATTATTATTATTATTATTATTATTATTATTATTATTTCTTTTGGGGGGAGGGGGGGGGGTTGGGCGAACAAATGACACAGAGTCCCTTGCCCCCCCCCCCCCCCCCCCCCCCCCATTCAGCTTTTTTGAGGACACGGGCCACCGCCGAAGTGACAAGCTAGGCCAGCGTTGCCGATTCTCATCCCCAAAATCCCCACATTAAAAAAAAAAAAAATTGGGGGATTGTTGAAGTCTTTGGGGATGAAAAATAAATATTTGGGAATGAAAATAATATTGAGTTTTATGAAAAACGAATTTGGGGATTTTCTGTCAAAATTTGGCAACTTTGGGGATATTTTAAGTGTCGTTTGGGTGGGGATTTTGTGAAGATTTAACCTGGCAACGCACGCTGAGCTGGGCTGCTCATTTCCTGGATTACTTGTTCAAGTTGCTCACTTTTTTATCAGTCTGGTCTGAGTGTAGTGCCAAGCAATATGGAAGCAAACAGGGCAAAGAAGTTGCGGCAATCCAGTCTCTTTTTTACTGGAAGGTATGTTTGAATCATGCAAAAAAGTTGGCATACAGGGTAAATTACCATACATGGGGGTGTAATACGGACGTGTTCATGCACTGCTTTTTATGGTCTCCATTGTGTTAATAGATGCCAGGAAAACATCACTAACGGGGTTCAAATAAACACCCCAAAAAAATCGGCTCGCCGCTTCGCGGCTCGTGGACGATTCTCCGCATCGTCATTATTGGTCAACCCCCCCCTTAGCAAAAAGCTAGATCCGCCCCTGTCTCTTCACTATTTCTTGCAAGCCAGGACACATGCCCTATCCCCCCCCCCCCTCCCCACCCCGCCTCCGTAGCTAGGCCACTTCTGTTCTACCTAAATAATTAAGATTTTATTGGCTTAAACCCTGAAACCACTAAAGTTCCATTCCACAAAATGAAAGGGCGCCATCACAACGGCCATGGCTAAAAATTAAGTTTCAAAAATAAAATATGTTCCGATGGGACCATGGCATATAAATGCATGGGTGGGGCTGGGACAGGCCCCTGGATATCATCCCCTCGAAAATAACCTGATGGTTGTTAACATAGGAGTATTTATAAAGCAGGATGCGTTGATATGCAGGAATGTGTTCCTTTGAGCCTGTTCAACATCTGTAGACTCGGGTAGCTGTCTTAAGATCAGGTGGTAAAGATCCACCCATGGGGGGGGGGGGGTGGAGACATTTGTTAAACGTGGTCAAATGCCATGCACAGAATATTAGCTACCGCACTTCTGGTAGCCGTCTCGACACTATCAACACGGACTCTTTGCCTTCCTATGGATGATGGTGGGTTTTAAAAAAAAAAAAATCATCGAATGCATTTTGGCTTGCTCAATCAACTAACCCCCACCCCACCGCCCCCGTCCCCAAAACACATATGTGGTGGGTTAAAAAAATATATTTATATATTATATCCCTCTATCTTCTTGAAAACTCTTCTGGCTCTTTCCTTGTATCAGCCGGGCTGCCAGACCGGTGTGATTGGCAGCTAGTGAAAATGTTCTTCACAAAGTGGAAAGACGGCAAACATGACCAAAATGGGCATTTGGGAGCAACAAAGATAAATATTAGTTACAATTGCAATTTTCCAAAACTGTAAGGATATTCCGATATCGCTGGTATCAGGGAATTAAGCTTAGGGACCAGTCATAAAATCACAGGGTTGTCTTTTTCTTCTTTCAATAGGGTTGAAAGTGTTGGAGGAGGCGGAATGCACCTATACCGACTTCTATCTACCAGCCGCTTAAAGGTTTGACATTTTGTCTCCGTGCCCCCCCCCCCCCATGTCCATTCTGACCACTGCGCCTGTCCCCTCCCTGGTGCTTCCTGGTCCCTCATCTTAGAGGAAACTATAAGTCTAAAATAACTATACAGGAAAAAGAAGTGTTTCTTTATAAGCTTATTCGATTCAATGGAAAACGTACTCGATTAGAAAATAGTAATAGGGAACTAAAGGTAAGGGACCTACTTTCTTATTAAAAATTTGGATAATGTATATCTACTGACAATTAGAAAAAAAAACGAAGCACTTCCTCCAAGTTGGAAGCGGAATATAGAAAGTATAGATTTAGATAAAGATAAAAGTCTTAATGAATTGATTGTTATACAATTCTGGGATAAAAATATCTCTAGACACGATTATTTCTAAAAAAATATATACAAGGAATTAGTGAAAGAAATAAGTGATTAGAGGCTGGTAAGAGATAAAATAAAAAAAATATATACATAATTGCGATTTTTCTTAAAAAGAACTGAATAATAAGCCCATGCAGATGGAATACTTTGAGCAGTTTTTTCAGGGAATTCCAATTTAAATTATTGGACGGAATCGAGTACACAAACTCTCGCTTATATAGTAGTTTATTGTTACTGATTTATGTTCATTCTGTGAACAAGAAGAAGAAACTTATACCGGTAAGCATAATATATGTTTAATGTGTATCTACTCGGAAGGTATGGGAAAGGTGCAGTACTTTCTTTCCTTGCTAGATGAATTAGAAGAAAACAAGTTAGCACTAATAGCGCTTCACCTGAAAAAGTGGAAACATTGGCATGTGCAATTATTGTCATGTAACAGTTTTGGAATAAGTTTGTTTATAAAACCGTGGTACTATATTTGTTTTCATGTATTGCTTTCAATTGAGATACTAATTCAGTTATTTCCTTTTTGATTTTTATTTATTTTTTATAATTAAGGCAATATTTGTGTTTTCCCCCATCGCAAATCGGGTAATTTGGGAGGGAGGAGGTGTTCGGAGGGGTAGAGGAGGGGGGGGGGGGTGGGGGGGGGGGGGGGGAGAGGCTAGGTTTCTTGGGCAGGGTGCCAAGGGGGGGGGGGGGGGGTCAAGGAGAACATTTTTATTTTCATCTTCATTCAATATTATGACTTGTAATATATTTGTTGTTGTTGCTATTTTAATGTATTTCCTGTAACTATAATAAGCCCATGTTATCAAAATCAATTACTTTTTGTGAGATATAAAAGAGGTTATAAATTCACAATGACACAATCAGTCTATTTTTGCGAGATTACCTTTGCTCAGGTTAAACATCAGGAATTCTATCTTTAATAATCTCTATAAACAAAATATAATTTCCACTTCAATTTGTTTTCTTGCCGTTCTGAATTGAAACTTGAAGTTTTAATTCAAAGCTCAATACTCACTTCTGAACTTCTGCAAAGTTACGTCATTCTCGTTACTCCGTTCACTGCGCGATCGACAGTGTACCATAATATTTCGTGCACTTAGCTGGTTACATGCCTTCATTGCGCGCGCACTGGAGAAACACGGGCGATACTAGCCACGCACGATAACTGGGCATGCTTAAAGTTTTACGTGTCCGCGCGGCTGTAGTCTCGATCAGCTGTTTTGATAAATCAAACTCCGGACCTGAAGAATTAAAAATCCGAAGGCACTGGTAGTGGTAAGTGATTGTACGCTTTAACATAATAAAAAAGCCAAAATATAGTCTTTACGTTATTGAGAGAGTAGAATATGGGCACCAGAATATGTATGATGATGATATGGTCAAAAATAGATCTGGAATGTGTGAGCACTTTTCTCTTTCGTATTCCCCCGCCTCCGTCGGCCTGGGTCCCTTGACCGCCGGCTTGGCACCAGTAAACAGTTCAAGATCAAGGCATCCATGTTGTAACAGGCAGCATTGCCATCGGTAGGTCATATTGAAGAACTGATACAACTTTACGAGTAGGATAACAATATAATGCATCCGTGCAATATAAATTCTCATAATCATCGTTTTTCTTCTTGATCATATGACATTTTGAGCCTTTTTCTCTCTTTTTAAGTGCTTGATCCATGAGATTTCTCACAGTAAATTTTTCAATCACCATGCAGATCTTTAATCAATTTTTCAGTGGATCAAGATGCAAGCCTGATCAGGGAGGTGCTATCCCTTTTTAAGAGACAGTGTCAGTCTCGCATATATTGGAGATTCAGCTCCCCAAATAAGTAAACAATACCCAAAATATGGCTATTTTTCCGGCCAAAGTTTTGCCTCTCTGTCTCTGCAGTCAGAAGCCCATGGTTTTGTGTGTGAATCATTAAAAAACAAAATTAGACACCAAATTTTTTAATTAGACAGACAAAAGGGTTTTTTTTTTTGCTAGGAATCTGCTCATCCTATGTATATTTGAGCTGAGATGGTTCCTTTGCCACAAATGTAAATGTAAATTGGTATCCCAATTAAATAGGAGACCGTCTCCCAAATACAGTGACTGCAGAACACTGCCCCGAACAATATAGAAGAAAAAAAATTGTGATTAATGATTTCTAATTTTCTATGCCATTTGTAATTCTTACTTAATCTGTATTTTCAGTCTAATGATTTCTTAGCATTTATTCATCCTGAATCTTTATTATCTCTTAAAGAAACAACAGACATGTTGCCAAAGTTCGCCCCACTCAACACTCCTCTCCACCGACGTTTGGAGACTGGAGCAGTTCTCATATGGTGGTTCATCTTCTTGTGGTTCAGGTTTACCGTTCAAATATTTCTTGTAGCTCTACTTTTCACAAGGTAAGTTTTTTATTTGTATTATTTTTTTTGTGTCTAGTTTTGTCATTTGTTGATTTGTTTTACTCTGGTTTACTTTGTTTTGCTTTATTTCTTTGTTTTTCTATGTATGTGTTTCTTCTTTTTCCTATTTTTTGGGGGAGGGATGTATGTTTGTGTGTTATGGTCAGTGATAAAGCAAGGAAATTTAGGAAATGTGACATTCTCTGTACTCCATCAAACAAAAAAGTAGTTCTAAGCTGGAAGATACATGTATAAGGAATTTTGATCATGTAGAGTTGCCATATAGTCAGGTGGTATAATAATAACTTGACCAAGGATGCAAAGATCTTAGATTCAAGTCCTAACATAGCACCTATGTCCTTGAAAAAGGCATTTTATCTTTGTTGCTTCTCTCCACCCAGGTACAGAGAAGCAATGGTGTTAATTAAATGGGTACCCAGGTGTCAAATAGGTATCCAAATAGGGTGTGAACATCAGTGCAATGTGCAAAATGTCAACTGGCTGGAATGCTTCCCAGGGGAGCAGAGAGTGCATTGTAAAGTCCTGAAAAGTATTTGAATCCAGTGACCATGGTGATAAAAATTATAAATGCTAATTTTATTACACGAAACTGCAGGTACCACGTTATTTATAGTCATATTTTGCAACAAATTTGTAATGGCAGTTTTTTAATTTTTAAAAAATTATTTTGCTGTTACTGGATAACCGATTGCAATTCCCCCATAGGTATTTCTGGGTGTCTTTCGTGCTGATGGGCTGGGCATACTATGACAGGCACACGCCCAAGAGAGGCGGTCGCCGTAGCGACTTTATGCGTCGCGGCCGCATCTGGAAGAAGATGGCCGACTACTTTCCGGTCCATCTGGTGAAAACTTCCGATCTGGATCCGAACCGGAACTACCTCTTCGGAGTACATCCCCATGGCATCATGAGCGTCGGCGCCTTTGTAAACTTTGCAGCGGAAGCGACATCTTTTAGTGACCTCTTCCCTGGGATAAAATCTCATCTGTGCACCCTCTCCGTCATGTACACGTATCCTCTCGCAAGGGATTTAATGATGGCTGGGGGTAAGTGAGAGGGTCAATTTCTTTTCTGATGGGTTTGGCACGGGAGGGGGTACATTATGTGGATGTGTCCATACTTCAGAGGACTATTTCTAGGCTTTAATCTGGTTCTCAACTAGAGTGGGACACGTCAGTCGGTCAATTGGATCAATAGCAAGTTTTATAGAACATGGTCCCGTGGCCGTATTCTAAAAACTAGGTTATCTGTTATGTTACAGAAAAAGATGCTGTCTAAAAAAAAGCCTGTTCAATTGTTAATTTGCCAGTAGGCTTCTATGAGCACCGAGTATTCTTTTGAAAAACTGTAAATATTTAACAATCAAAGGTCACCATTATTTTGCCATGCTAATCTTATTTTTAGATTTGAATGTTTTTTTTTGTCTGAACTTCAATAAACACAGCTTGAATAAAAACATAGATAGATAATAATGTTAGTGTTATGTGACTGTTAGCAATTAATTTGGGAAGAAAAGCTGCAGATGTCTGGAACTGTGCAAATGGGACCTGTTTAGTGATCTCACAGCATATTTTGTTTATTCTACATTGCATTTAAAGGGAACCAATTCTATGAAATATAAATTGTTATCCCTGAAATTATGATATTATCCTCAAAAACAAAATTTACTTGGCATTTTGTTTAAGGGGTAGGAAGAGGATAGAGGATAACATAAAATCATGTGCACAGAAGTCAGAACTCAGGTTAAAGTTTGGTTCCGTGCATGCTCTATTCTATGCAAGCCCTCTCACATGCTTCATCTAGTATACCTCCAGTCATTTGTTTGGTTGTAAAAAGTGTATTTATACAAGTTTGCAATAACTGTTGGTAGGAGTAATACAGTCAAACCTGTGCAGACAGGTGGCCTTAATAGACAGGTTATACAACACACATTCTCTCTCAAGGGAGACACAATGCATGGCCACTGCAGACAGGTGGCCTTTATAGACAGGTTCTACAACGCACATTTCTCTCTCAAGGGAGACACAATGCATGATCACCATAGACAGGTGGCCTTTATAGAGAGGTGGCCACTAAGACAGGTTTGACTGTATTTGAAGCTCATATTTTTAATGTATATAGTATACCGACATGGATCTGCTAACATACAGGGCAAGACATTTTTTAGAGATTGTTAAAGCTTTGATTCTCTTTACAATATCTGGGGGTTGTTTCACAAAGATCCTACGTTGAACTTATCTCTAAGTTGGACTTGACAATTATGGAAAGCTGTTAGCATCCTTGAAAATATTTTGTAAAAGTTATTTTAAAAGGCATAAAATGTTGATTCAAATCATTCATATTTTCTATTATCATGGGAGATTTCATGTTCTTGATGTAGAATATATGAAAAGTCTAAAATTCTTGATTTTTCGCTTTTGAATATATTTCATTATAAGGCTACAAATGGCTCTCCATAATATTAAGTCCAACTTAGAGTTACAGTAAGTTTGACTTAAAATCTTTGTGAAACACCCCCCTGTCTCATTTCTTATCTACCCTTTTCTAAATTTCTTTCTGCTGCTTTTCCTTCTGTTACTCACAGGTATGTGCGATGTACACAAAGAGAGCATAGACTACCTGCTCGGCCAATCAGGGCCCGGGAACGCTGCCGTCATCGTAGTGGGCGGGGCCGGTGAAGCCCTGGAAGCTCGGGCAGACAATCATGTGGTCTGCCTCAAAGAAAGGAAGGGATTTATCAAGAAGGCTCTACAACATGGGTGAGAAATTCAATTTGAAACCCATTTATTTCATTCTTGGTTAAAAATTGCATTGATACAAAAAATACAAAATAGTTCATGTACAAATTTAGAAAATGAAATGGAGAACTACATAAATAAAGCCCTCAGTCCTTGTACAAGCGTAGTTCCTAAAAGCATTCATAGCATAATGTGAAGCAAAGATAACAAACAAAAACAATAAAAAAATTGACTATATTCCTGCTCATAAGGTCAAAAAAAATAAATTGTTTGGTTGTCCTCGATTGCTTTTCTGGAGTAGGGGCGGGCGGCCTTTTTTTTTTTTTTTTTTTTTTTTAATTCATTTTTTGTGTGTATTTTTTTGATTTTTTTTTTTTTCCCCATTTTTTTTTTTTTGTTAAATAATTTTGTTTCCATAAAAAAAATCCAAAAAAAAATCATTGGGCTTGTCAAGCATTTAAAAAAACAAAGTCTATAAAACACTTAAATATGGTAAAAGACTAGTTTAATGTACAATCAATATCAAGACCAACACAGAAAGTATTTTGGGCTTTGAAATACAGCACCTTTTAAATCTTCATTGTACTACTTATAGCTACTTGCGCCCTCTATGTAGCAAACAATGCCTAATCGGTGACCATTGGTCTCCCATGATCCTCTTTATCTGCCGCAGTGGCTGCCTTGCTAAAGCCAGGGTAATAATCGGGGCAGCGCCAGGAGCGTCACAATGTGACAGACATTTGTGCTATATAAGAAGCCACCATTATTATTATTATTATTATTATCTTATATTAACTGAGAGCTGATTTGATGAGATAACCACCTGTCCAGTGACCTTGCAGGGTGGTCTAATCCCTCCTGTAAACTAGTACAGATGGGCTTTAAAATGAGATTAAGAATGCTCAGAACCTGATTTGAATGAACAGCATTTTGACATAGGAAAATAAAAATGGCAATTTTAATAAATACCTAATTGCGTACTGAAAAGACCAAACTGGCAACGGGACGCATTTTGATCATTGCAAATGCATAAAATGGTATGATTGGCATTTAAGATTGCTCCCCCCACCAAAAAAAAACAAAAACAAAACAAATAAATAAATAAAAAAATTAAAAAAAATTAAAAAATTAAAAAAAATAAAAATAAATACGAGCGGCCCGAAAATGATGAGCGGGCGGTCGAGGACAACCAAACAATTTTTTTTTTTTGGCCTAAGAAGAGGTTATATCGTCGGCCTTATGCCAAAAGGGCCTTAACCCGATTTCGGGGGTTATTGAGTTATTAACATCACCTTGTAGATTTCATCATTCTCTTTAAAATGATGTGCTTTACTTGTTGAAATTCGATTTATTTATGAAGATAATTATGAATTTCAAAAGGGCCTTAACGCGTATCTCATCTTTTTCCTTACGCCAAAAGGGCCTTAACCTACACGGCAAATCTTTTATCAATAACAGATTATTTCGTAATTTCTATTTATTTAATAAATATCAGTAGAAACACCATTTAAAACATGATTAGTCTAGAATAGACACAATGTACTTAAAATAATCACTGAAAGTATATGTCATGAATTTAGATCTTGAAATCTGAGTGAGATTTGAATTAGGTGTGGATGCATGAAATGCGACCGACTCGTTGAAATACGCAGATGTCAACGTATGGGACTGTGATGAAAAATAAACAACGAAAAAGGTGTTCTAAATGTACGATCTCTAAAAAATAACTTTACCGAAAGCTGCATTATATTAATAGAAATATTCAGATATCAAAAATACTTTTTCAAACATTTTAATTAACCAGTTTTATCAGTTTTCGTGATCCAGTAGCCGTAGGAGGGCCTTTCTGGCAAACCAAAGGTGTTGCGAAACAAGAAATTTTCCTTATGCCAGAAGGGCGCTAACTATGCGCGCGTACGATAACGGCAGGTTAAAGCCCTTTTGGCATAACGCCGCGTAGGTTACGCCCCTTTTGGCACAATGCCGAGTAGGTTACGGCCCTTCTGGCATAAATACGCTGCATTCAAGCCTTATGCCAAAAAGGCCCTAACATGTTTTTTGCACATAGCATGTACAATTCTGAATATTTTATAACACATTTAACACATTTCATGTAAAACTTAATAACTTAACATATTTATCGAAATTGGCTTCAAAAACAAAAAAACGACCACAAAGTTTTGATTATTAGAGAGGCCAAAACCTTTAAACGCGATTATCTCGGAATGGCCAAAAGCAGTTAAGGCCCTTTTGGCATAAGGCCGACGATATGACATCATCATCAATAGTGATCTGTCAGTTTATGACAGGTTCAGTAACCCAATCAGAGTTCTACTTCAAGTGTCTCTCCAAGTACTTTGGTCTTTAGCCATCCGTTTCAGCATATGACATATACTCCAGCAATGATTGCTTGTTGATCAATCCTTAACTAACTAATGCTTATCTTCAATCCCTTGGACCTAATCTAGATTACTACAGACAATGGATGAAAATGTTTGCTTCTTGTCTTCATTTTTTTTTAGGACACATGTTGTTCCATGCTACAAGTTTGGCGAGAACAACCTCTACTATCAGTTTCCTTGCTCATACATATATGTGCTTCATATTACATTATACTATAGCATCTTGATATGCTTTTAAAGTTCTTTGGAAATTTTATTAGTCTTTAATCACAAAATAATATATTTGTGATTCTCAGTGCCATTGATGATCAAAATTTCTGAAAAATACACTTGCACCAACAGACTATTCCACAAGATTTTAACAGCACTATATCTGTTCAAAAGATTATCTTACAAGATTTCAACAACACTAGATCTGTTCAAATATGTTTTTCAGGGTGCATCTTGTTCCATACTACACGTTTGGCGAGAATGATGTCTACCCTGAAACACACTTGTACCAAAAGATTATTCCACAAGATTTTAACAGCACTATATCTGTTCAAAAGATTATCTTACAAGATTTTAACAACACTAGATCTGTTCAAATATGTTTTTCAGGGTGCATCTTGTTCCATACTACACGTTTGGCGAGAATGACATCTACCCTGAAACACACTTGTACCAAAAGATTATTCCACAAGATTTTAACAACTCTAGTTCTCTTCATATACGTTTTTTTCAGGGTGCATCTTGTTCCGTGCTACACGTTTGGCGAGAGCGACCTCTACTACTCTGAAAAATACATTTGCACCAAAGAAATTATTCCACTAAGATCTCAACAACACTAGATCTGTTCAAATTTGTTTTTCAGGGCGCATCTTGTTCCATGCTACACGTTTGGCGAGAACGACCTCTACCATCAGCTTCCAAGCACAGAGGGATCCCGAACAAGGTGGATACAGCAGCAGACGACCAGGTTCTTTGGCTTTTCCATACCAATCTTCTACGGGAGGGGTGTCTTCCAGTATAGCTTTGGATTTCTACCGTTCAGGAAAGAGCTCAATACCGTCGGTATGTACCCAAAATATTGAACTGTATTTGGATTTAGGGTGTAAATATTATAGGGGCGTATCCAGAAATTATCAAATGGGGGGGGGGGAGGGGGGAGGGGGAAGAGAGCTTTATACAGTCAGTAAGCATACAAAAGATTAAACTATATTTAGATTAACAGTGTTGATAATAAGGGGCGTATCCAAAATTGATAAATGGGGAGGTTTTTCTATTTCTCTCCATAGGAGAGATGGAATGTAATGTACCTTAGGTACTCTGCATGGGTAGATATCTGTCTTTTTTAGCTAAAATATATTATCATCAATCACGAAAGAACTTGACATAGTTGGTAAGCACAACAAATTTGTTGAAATATTTGGATTTAAGGATGAAGATAAAGCAGGGGTGTATCAAGAAATTGATTAGGAGGGACAACTTATCCTTTGTAGCCTTGATTCTTATAGGTTTCTGACACTGATCAATCAAATACCAGAGTTTGAACCAAATGATACTGCTGTACCACTTAACCCCCAAATGATGATGGTGTGGAGGCGCGTTAGCTCAGACGGTAGAGCAGTGGTCTCATAATCCAGTGACCCGGGTTCGAAACCAGGACGATGCGCTAGTGCCCTTTGGTAAGGCATTAATCCTCACTAGCAGGTCCCTCAGAGAGGGCCTTAAGCCTTCGCCGTCTGGTTCTCTGTCAAGTTGGTTAAACCTTTTCCTTTTCCCTTTTCCAGTTGGTAAACCCATTTCTGTGGAGAAGATGGAGAAGCCCTCATCCGAAGCCATTGAAGATCTCTGGAACACCTACATTCAGGCCCTGCAGGAGCTCTTTGAAGAGAACAAGGTCAAGTTTGGGGTCAGGGATGACCTAACCCTGCAGGTCAAATGAGGTCAAAGTGCATTATCAGGTATGACCTCATGTTACAGGTCAAATAAGGTCAAATCACAGCACAGGGTCTTTGAAAGAAGAGATTCTCATCAAGTTTAGGTGATTCAACTTATTCCTCAGGTGTCTTCCAAAATTCAAACCATTCCAGTGCTCATTTTGTTATGCTTCTGCACATTCTTGTAATAATTACTTCATTTTGCAGGTCAATTAAGGTCAGAGTGCTGTACAGGGTCTATAATTCGGCTGAAGAGATTCCCATCAAGATTGGATGATTCAGCATACTTGTATTTCTTGCATGTACAGTAGATGTCTTTCAATATTGTAACCAACTATACTACAAACTGTGTAACGCCTGCCCGATTCTTCTCAGGAATGACCTCACACTGCGGGTTATGTGAGGTCAAAGTGGGGAATCAGGGACAACCTTTTGCTATGTACAGGTCACATGAGGTCAAATAGCAGCACAGCACCATTAAGGTGTTTCTTGGAGGAGGAGATTTCCATCAAGCTCAGATGATTCCACTATTTGTTATGTCTTCCAATAATTTAAGCAACTGTAGTACACATTGTGTTTTAACACCTCTCCAGATTCTTCTCAGGGATGACCTCATACCGTGTGTCAAATGAGGTCAAATTGTATTATCATGGATGACCTCACACTCCAGGTCAGATGAGGTCAAATTGCAGGATCAAGAATGACCTCGAGAGATTCATAGTAGCAGATCAGTTTAAGTGTTCAAAAATAATCTTCAAAAGTATCTGTTTGATTCGACATATTAACTGTTCTCTTTATTTTGTATATGTTCTATCTTACCCCTGTTCTTTTGTTTATAATGCAGATGCTTTTGTGTGATTTCTTATATTTTTTTTATAGCATGTCATTTCCAGTCGATTTGGTGCCTAACAAACCTAATATATCTTATTATGAAGTTATAAGTTGGTTAGATTTCATATACATGTAGAACAATCATGTAATTTTAAGTTTGAGATTCATCAATATCATAAATATTTAGAAATATAATAAATATTTATGAATATAATAAATATTTATAAATATAATAAATATTTATAAATATAATAAATATTTATAAATATAATAAATATTTATAAATATAATAAATATTATAAATCTACTTAATTTTCATGAAAATCAAAACTATTGGAAAAAACTGGGTACAGATACCACTATATATATATATATGTATGAATACAAAAAACATGGCTTCAGAATGTTGTCAAAAGTTCCAAAATGGGAGCTTTTCATGAGCAAATTATGGAAATGGAAATAATGAGAAAACCTACAAATTATTAAAGGAATATGATCAGTTAAAAAAATACATTTATAAAGAATATTGCAATCTAGTGCATTAAAAAACTGTAATGTATCTAACTACAGAGGGCACACATCAGGGTGAACCGTAGCATATGGATAAAGAAAGTTGTACATGCAAGCGGTCATAGGTCACGTTAAGAAGCTCTGAAGAGTTCCCTTCTCTATACAATCTGTGTGAGAGGGAACTATTTTTATCTCCATGAAACGACTTGACCAATGAGAAGAAACAACTTCTGGTGACCTAACTATTTCTCTCAATAACCTATTGAGTGAGCAGAGAGTTGCAACTTTTATTAAGTTTTTTTTTGCCTTCCATGCACAGTCGGTTAAAATTAGCTTTCACTTACTAATAAACAAGTTATTTTTTATTTGTTCTTACTGATTGTGCAAAAAGAACAACTTTTCAATGCTATCACGCAACAGATGAACCTCTTTAATGAGTTGGGACTTGATAATTTTATGTAAACCAAAAATGGAACAATTCTATTTGATACTTTTCTTTGTTTTGTATTGATTCCAATTGATTGATTATGTTTTACATTTCAGAGTATTGATTTCTTTCACAAGACTTTGAAAGAGAAATTTGAGAGAGTATTTTCAAGATTTTTTTGAGTTTGTATTACAGTGATTTCAATTGCTTGATTATGTATAACATTTCAGTGTATTTATTTCTTTCACTAGACTTTGAAGGAGAAATTACAGAGAGTATTTTCAAGATTTTGTTGAGTTTGTAACAGTGATAGCAATGACTTGGGTTTTCCTTTCATTGCTGCTAGGAAAATATTGTAGTAAACATTAGCTAATAATTATCTACCTCTTCTGCATGTAACGTATAAGATATATGATTATGTTCTATGCATTACTACATATTGTTGAATTGCATTATAGAATTTTGAACATAAATTGACATCAAAATATCATTTTATTTGAAGTTTTGTGGTAAAAATCAGCTAATAATTAGCTACCTCTTTAGTATATAATGTATAAGATATGTATACATGTTTATGTTCTATGTATTACCAGATATTGTTGAATGCTATTATAGAACTGTGATCATAAATTGACATTAAAAATGTCATTTTATTTGATGTTATGTTTGATTTTGATGTTGATTTTATATAAACTATGTACTTAAGTTATCATTATTTAAAATATTTTTTAAGAATCATTTTCAACTTGCCATTTATGTGCTTTTTATGATCCTACCACTTCAGATATATTATTATATATATTTGTATTTTTAAGATTATTTAATATTGTTTTATCTTGACGTGGAAACGAATACAGGTAAATGAAATTTAAGATCTAGCTAGTAAGACAGGTTGAAACAGTCATCAGGTATAATAAAATCTCATAACAATAACACCTTACAAGGGCTCTGTAACATAAAAATTAACTTACAATCAATCGTAAAAATCTGTCTCCTTTCAAATCTTGCTGCACTCATTAGTATCTTATGATGCATTGTATCTATCTGTAACACAGAATTAATCCTAAGTTTGATCAACCGCGAATTAAGTTAGATTGAAGGAGATACAATGAAATTTAAAGAAGGTACGGTAATCTCTAACTCTTAATGTTTAATACAGGGCAGTGAACATGATTTCCATTGGAAATACATAGGGTATTGAAGTTGCTCTTTTTGTTTATAGTTTGAAAGCCTTTGCGATTTTTCGACGACCACACTGACTCGTCCCTTTAAGATATCAGTTTCATTGCCAATCAAAAGTACTTACAATAAATACTTCACACTCTATTATGTGCGGTTTCCTGTTGCTTGGCGGGTTTCTATTCAGATTCATTGCAGTATTCTGATTTGTATAACATTTATTGTTCCGAAGGTTCGTATGCTACTAAAAATTTAAACCTGACCTTGGGTTTAAGCTCTTGTTTGATATCAGGGGGGTGTTTCACAAAGACGAAGATTGACTTTATGTTGGACTTAACTATGGCAGGCCATTCATCCCACTAGTTCCTCTAACCATTCCTGGCATTGGTTTCTCAAAGGATGTACAAATCATGGTCACAAATCTACAGAATTTTCATTTTTTTATAGTTCATTATTGAAGGAAAAAATAAAGATCTAAAGATCATAATTGAGAGACCAATGGTGAGAGCAAACATTGGCATGAACGGCCTGCCATAGTCCAACTTAATGTTGATCTTAGTCTTTGTGAAACACTCCCCAGGTTTAACAAAGGAATTTAGTTGGAGGTCTAAGTTTAACTTAAAATCTTAATCTTCGACCCAAAGTCAGGTGTAAATAAATTGATAGACTACGGACCAAAAAGCCATTTTACCAAAGAGACCTTATTTCAATCTGTGCAAGGAGTTTTGTATATTGTAATTATTTAAAGAATATGTTTCTATGGTATTAAAAGACTTCCATTTGTACTGGTTATTCTGATGTTTTCTTGTAAAATAAGTCTTTATTTTCCCTTTTCTTTCATACAAACATGTTCATTCAATTGTTGTAACCAGTTACCACTACTCGTATCTACCGGTATATGTTCTAAGGCTGCCAGTATCTAGTCCATGTACTGCCTGGACTGTTCTTAATTCGTCTGTAGGCAATGATGAATTTGTGGGTTGGGCGCAGGCGCACGCACTCAAAGGTAAAATATTAAAATGGCCAGAATCTGGTCTACCACATACTGTACCATCTTCAAAACTGTCTTATCTAATCTCTCTCTCTCTCTTTCTCTCTTTCTCTCTTTCTCTAATTTCATTCCGATTATCTTCCTATGCGCTTAGAAACATGGTATAATAATCTCTCTCTCTCTCTCTCTCTATCTCTCTCTCTCTCTCTCTTTTTTTTTTCTCTCTCTCTCTCTCTCTCTTTCTCTCTAGTTTCATTCCTATTATCTTTGTACCGGTATGCGCTTAGAAACGTGGTTTATTAAGTACTTTATTAATGATGCATATTATTATCATTATTATTATCAGTAGAAGACGTAGTAGGAGTATTAGTATAGTTATTGTCATTATTAATATCATTATTGTATTTTTGCGCAGTCATACAAACTGAATGCTTGCAGAAAGTCAATGCCATGCAGTTGCATGTGTCTTGGGAAGGTGTTGGCCTCTTAATCCTAAAAATTAAAATCCCTAGAGAGATTGCCACTTAGTTATTCTTTTATTTATAAACTTGATTTTAAAGAAGATATTTTCACAGCTTGTATTAACAAAACACTTGTAAGCAATACAACAATATTGACGCTATGAACCAAAAGAGCGTTTAAAACAACATTAATGTCATTTTTGGCTCGATTTTAACAAAATATTATTTTTTAAAGATTTGGCCTTCATAGTCTCATTCTTTACACTGCCCATTTCCTTACAGCCTTGCTACAATTTATTAGATGCTAGGTAAATAATATGACACTATAATACTATTTCTTTAGATTATAGGCCTCATTTTTGACAACTGTCTATAAATGTTCACCTAGTTGTTACAAAGTTCACAGAATGAATTAGTTCACCTATTATTCATCAAAGGTCATAGAATGATTAGTAATGAGCAGTGGTTTACTTTTCACTGACCTCCTGTAGTTGTCCCACATTGTTTACTCTGTATTTCTTTTCTCTTTCTGCCTTTTTCTTTTTTGTATTATATTTTCTGTTTGTTATACAAAGCACTTTTTGTATAAAAGGGCCACAATTCCCTTAAAAGAAAAAATACTGCAATCCTTAAAACTTTGCAACTTTCTTTAATTACCAAAGTAATGAAAACAAAAACACTAAAACTTACCTTCCAAAAGCAGACTTGTAAGTATAATCTTGGCTATATGAACATGAAAAGGGACATGGGAATACTGTGATTTTTTCCTTCATGAATACATAAGCCAATCCAGTTTTGCTACCTCTTGGTCAGACAACTGTTCTACGTTCACAAAAGTATGTATCCAAAGTTCACAGAAACCATTGTGATCTGCTCTTTTATCATCAGTAATATACATAGTTGATGTTTGATATTACCACGTAGGCCTAATCCTAATCCTAATCTTAATCATGATAACCCTCTCCCTATTTAAGTCTGTACATGAAGACCATTGATGAACATTTGATCCCCCACCCCCATCCTCCTGTCTTCCCATATGATCCCCTCCCAAAGTGAAGATATATCCTTTAATTCCTAATCCTAGACTTAATCTTAATCCCAACTATTTTTCTAATAAACCAAGAGTCTGTTCATGAAGACTATGGTTAACCCCCACCACCCCCAATTTCCCCCTCTCCCCTATGATCCCCTCCCTGCCCCCCTCTCTGGGGTGAAGGCAGCCGAGTTTGGTAACCTCCTGCCAGAATTTCACCTGCTTCCGTAGCAAGAAGTGAGTCATGGATCACTTGGGGGTGCCCGAGAGGTGCTGTGAAGGGGGGAAGCTTGGGGATCAGAGTTGCAGAAGCCATGTTCACACAAGAGTCATTAAACCTAAAGTTTAGCTTGCATTTTAAACTTTGAGATTAACTTGTAGTTAAGGACTGTGCGGATGCCTTCATGGTTTTGAACCTTAAAGGTAAAGACCAGTAATGGTCATGCGATTGCATTGTGAAAGAAACGTTGTGGAATCGATCAGAAAAGGTTGATCATCTAG